TACTTGTGAGGAAACTTTCAATCACAATAAAGTTATAAACAGTATTGAAAGCACTATTTTCTGAAAGTACGCAGTCGATAGTACATAAATCCGTCAGAAATGGAAAATCGAAAACAGTGTCCAAAATTGCTTTCTGAAGGAAGCAGGGAACAAAGACCTTAAGAATACCTACAAAAAATAAAAGTTCTCACTCAGCGCCAATGTGGTCCATTCTGGCCCATTCCAGCCCATTCTACCATTCCAGAAACGCTTTTTCCCCCTTGAAATTTCTTCTGATGGAGCGAACGTCGATGGTATACTTAATATAGTTTTTGCTAATTTTGATAAACAAGGATAGGATAGTTTTGATGCGTTCCACCACTGTAAAACATCATTTGTTTCCACATTTAATGCCAAATATCGTTCAATTTCATTTTCCAGTTTTTTATCTTTTGGTTGTAACTGTTTTGAAAATTTTATAAGAAGATCTTATTTAAGTTTTTTTAATTTAACTTGCGTCTCATTTGACTCAATACTATTTGATGCAGATCGTTTACTACTATTTGGTGATTGAGTAGCTTCCATTGTTGATGTTGGACTTGTTGGACTGATCGTGAGTATTACTGATGATTGTGTGTTTATTATACTTGTTGTTGATATCATTGACGTTTCTGGTTCACCACCTTGTGTTATATTAAATTTTTTTACCATTGAGAAAAGTGATTCTGTTTTGTTCATTGATAAATTTTTAAAATATTCATCTGTATCGAAAGTATGTCGAGAAGGATCTAACAACGATGCTGCTAAATATATATCAAGTATGGGAAAAGCGTGTATCAAATGACTGTTTCATTATTGTTTTTAAATTAACAATTGCTTCTCGATCGTTTAATTGAATAACCAATGCTTCTTGTATACTTTTTCGAAATAACAAAACCAAATGCACTGTTGGGTAGGATTTTGATGCTTGTAGTACCGTTGTCGCAGTCTCAAATGCTGCAAAACTTAATTAATTCTTCGGTAATAGCTATATGTTCATAATCGAGAACTAGATTAAATAAACCTAATCGATTCAATATTGCTCTAATACCATTTATATTATGAATATAACTTCTAGAAAACATTATAGGAAAAAAATTGGAGATAGAAAGATTACTGTTTGCACAAAAAAGATATAAAGATATGAGCAACTCCAGCGTCATAGACGTGACACGTTCGTACACCTTTGTGCCACTATAGACCTTTACCCAAAACAGCACTAAAGTCCCTATTGCCATCAGATATTGGTGCCTACTGTGCGTAAAAAAGACAGTGCACTTGGTCATTTTTTGAATAACTTTTGATAGAAGCTAGATAGAGACCTGCGGTTTGCAGTTTTGAAAATGCTTTGAATATGCGGTCAGGTGTCTCGTTTTCAAAACTGATGAAAATATAATTGTTTTATTCTTATTTTATTCTTTAAACAGAAAACAGAAAAATTTCTCTTATAGGCAAGTCTAAGTAGTATTAGAGTAGAATAAACTGTAAAAGAAAAGTATAGAGTACTGTGGGGTAAAAAGGGTCAAAATCAGATTTGCAGTGTAAGACAGTATATATAGTGTCCTGCTGAGCACTAGGCTTTATTATGCTTTATCCCGACAGAGACTAGGGAGGAAATTTGGGCCCCAGCTGAAAGTCCTGGCGGAGTTTGGATCTGAGCCGAAAGTCATGAAGGACTTTGGGCCCCGGGATGAAAGATCATCGGACTTTGGGACCTGGTCGAAAGTCTGGGCCGAAAGTTATGTAACCCTTTTATGAGAGTACATGGAAATGTGCTGAAATGCAAGTTAAAAAATGTGGTAACATGAACACGAAATTTAGCTAAGTTTTTTTGTTGCAAGAAGGTAAACACTATCAATTGTGTTTGAAAAATAACATAATTTCTCTGTAAAATAGAATAATAAACAAAATAAAAATCCCAGTGGCGATTATAGCAATTGATATGAATATAAAATGATCTGTAGATTTTTCTGTTTTTGGGTGCTGTCTATTTTTATGAACAATACCAGGGAGAGGAATAAGTTTTAGAAAGCCATTGATAATGATTTGTTTCTATTTTCTGGTGTCATTGACAAGGAGATTCTGTTAAGATAATATTCGACTTTTTCAATGAACATTGGTTGTTCATCATCATTATCGACTATTTTCAACTTAACGTCCCAAATAAAATTATCAGTATCCTGCTCAATAGATTTGATCTCAAATACTGTACCGATAGTGAATAAAATTTCTTCTTCGTCACCAAAGGGACTCATATGATCTATTCTGGCAAATGGTTTTGCAAACATACGATGTTGATTGCTTTCATTCATCAAATCAATTTCAATTTCAAATAGTACAGACTCCATAAATTCTGGTGCTTTCCGCCGACTACCATCCCCAGCATAGATTAATGCTGCATTTCTATTTAAGCTTGTTGAAATAAATGACTGAAATGAAATTTGTCCATTTATACTTTGTTTCAAACGATTTAGTTCTAAACCATTTAAATGTTGTCCACGATAGGCAATCAAGACTGCCGTTCTATTGCTAGATAAACTAGATATATAAGTCTGATGTAAATCACTCAGTTGTTGTTCAAGATGTGCAATAAAAAACCCGAATCCTAATATTTCATCAATATTATCTTTTCGAAGTCCTTCATTCAGCAGTTTATATAATGGCGATTCACGTGTATACCATTTGAGACTGTCCGTAGCACTAGAATACTGTTGTCCAAACAACTTCAAATTATGACATTGAATAGCATTGTTGTTATATCGTTCGATGCAGCTTCGAACTAAATTTTCTTTCTGTACATCACTGTACGGTATACGTGCCAAGACACGTAGTATCAATTCTAGACATTTATATTTACTTTGTGTTCGATTATTCATATCACGTGTGCTTGTTTCTTTATCATTCGGACGAAAAATAATCAATTGAACTAAATCATTACAATGTATACTTATATCTCGGGCTATTTCATTCATCATCGATTCAGTCTTTTGATGGAAATCTTTGAATAGTGGTGAGTCAACTGTGTGTTGTTGTTGTTCGATATTACTACATAAAGAAAATATATAAACATGAATTAATGGTGAAATATTATGAAAATATTTGAAATAGTTCTCAATGAATGACCCAGCCACAATCAAAAAAACATTTTCTGGTGAACCGTGAGATATAAGATATTGTTTACATACTTCAATTTCATCAAATTTCACATATATGTCTCCAAGTTCAGCTATTTTATCGTAGTGTTCCTTTGTAATCAGATTATTTTTTTCGTAGTAATCGTCTAAGAATACAACTGTCAATTGTTGTTTAGATTCCAATATTTCTTCTGTGTCCGTCTCTTCAGCTGCCGCCGTCACTATTTCATCGAATTCGTCATATTTTGAAAAATATGGATAATTATTGATCTGTTCTTGTTCCAAAGCTGTTTGTACGTAATCGATATCGTCTTCATAATAATTTTCTGATTCCAACTCCTCGCTGTTATGCGCAGTAGGAGACATGTTGTCAGAAGGGCCGATAGATACGACGGTGGACTTTGGCACCCAACATTTTTTTTCTAATGAGTACACCCATTGTTTCGGTTTCAATGGCTTTTTTGATGCTCGACGTAGCTTATTTTTCCTAAAAATATACTAATAATTCAGTAGATGTTAATCCTTTTCAGTCCAGAAAGGAAAGATCTATTCTGATCAGAATGTTCCGAAAATATTTTTTCAAAATCTAGCCACCCTTTCAGGACTTACCAGTCTCGGATACTGGTAACCATATGCTAATTCGCTCTCAGTCTTCCTCTTTCACTTTAAAAATACATATTTTTTGCTAACTTCTTTCTCTCCACTTACCTCATGCGGAATTTTCTGTTTAGCGGTTTAGCTTTGTAGGACGACACATTTTCGGGGGCGTTCACCCATATAGTTTCGTAAGTAACTACATGTCTATAAGTTGTTGTTATCAAGTAATCTTCCGTTTCTTCGACTTTTGTACGGCAGATAGAAACAGATTCTGGATCATTTCCACATGTTGGACAAATGAGTTGTTGCTCCTCCATTGTTGTTCCAAGAAGGAATTAATCGAATACGAAACGATTTCGTACTGTTCTCCAGATATGATCGCTAGAATGAAAAATATAGTTTTCGAAGCATAAAACCAGATTACACAGTCAACGATCGAAAATGTGGTTCACATTTGATATAACGAAATCATCATTTTTCATATTCTGGTTGATTAGTATCGTCACAAAATGATACAACAACAACCCCAGCAGCAAAAATCAACATTAGTCATGTTGGGTTTCGAATGAGACAATCACCTTCAGCTTCATTAGCAAAAGAAAATGTTAACATCAACGAAATCATTTTGTTGTGTTTTTCAAAAAAGTAATAGACATAAAAATCCAGCTTATATTTTGTACTCTACTTTGTATTCTTATTACTCTTTTTATTATACATCTATCAGTGATGAAACTTTTATTATAAATGTGAGAAATTTCGTCGTATTTTTGCAACACTTTATGCATAACAGTTTTCTCTCATACTCTCAATGTCGATGTTTTTATTTGCTCTGCAAAAATTTGCAAAATATCTATCCTTTAGGCAAAAAAATAAGAAACGAAAAAAATACATACCTAAATGAAAAACAAAGAACTTCCACATGTACATACTAGGGATGATCAAAAATACGAATATAAGAGATTTGTTGAGAGAAGTTTGACAACTCCAGCACCCTTTAGTATTTTGAATGGTATTCAAATAAAAAAAATGCTATTAGAGATTCAAATAGCGGGTTTTGTAGAGAAGCCAATTCTCTACTGATTAAGCTTAGAACGAACTCTTTGGACCACCGAACGGTGTCTCAAAAGCAACAGCCAAAAGTGTCCGATTTAAAAAAAAATTTCCGCCCCCGGCGACGACAAAAGTTTAACCGCATGGCGGCGGCGGCGGAAGTCACAATAATTTTTCTCCGCCTTCGGCGGCGGCAGCGTGAGACTTTGAAAATTTCTTCCGCCTTCGGCGGCGGTGTACATCTCTGTTTACAACTCATTCTATTTTCAAGTTATTGAATTTTAAGTTTTCCATAAATTAGCCCTTTCATAGGCTCACAATATAATGGCTTCCAAAATTGTTAGTTTTCCACCAGAACTGTTGAAACTTTCATAAATGAAATGGTTTTGATCGGCACACACAGAAAACTAATCAAAATTATATAACTTCAATGGTTTGTAACTCCGGTTTTCAAGGCGATCTCTCGAGACCTCAGCATCATTTAGCATCTAAAATAATGTGATATCGTAGCAAGAAAAATAGTAAGAACGATGACATAAAAAATTAGCTCTTCATGGTTATGGTGCCATATGTTGTGAACGAAGGTAAAAGTATATGTTTACGATATTCCCCTAGTAGCATTCCCGCTTCATTTCGCGGCAAGAATGCAACCTCATCTTGCCGCGATTTTGACAAGAAATTTGAAACTTAACGCGGGATCGATACAGCGATCTTACCTAATCTTGCTATTTTTCCCGTATAACGAAAATTTAACAATCTTGACGCGAAAATTTTTGGACGGGATCGCGCTGAAATCCTGCAGAGGTTGCGATAGGATTAAAACGGGATCCGGACAAGAGCGTACCAAGATCCGGTGTGATTAGAACCAGGTTGCAGGAAGGCCGAGGAAGCTTTCCTGCCACTTATCTGATTGTCACTACGTTCTTTCGATGCTTTAATCTCCTTTTCATCAAATTTCATCATGTTTTACTCGGTATTTTCTTCGAGAACATGAAGTAATTAGAGATTTTCTCACAGAACACCATCTTCAGAGTACACAGCAATTTATTTTCTTTGTTTTGAGTTATAAACTCCATTTCATTTCAATGTCACAAAGTTGAACTATTATTAATTTGCTCATCTAAAGTGGGATATAGTTTTGGCTGGTGAGAAGTTTCATCCCAGATGTATCTTTAGGTTCTTCATCGGTGTATTTTTCAGTTCTAATTCGAAACGTTACTGGCATTGGATCTCAGAATAGAAGTGAGAGGGACTGTCTTTGTGTTTCATCTGTGAGTTGTGCCAATAAGGTAACGTTTGCCGTATGTGAAGAAAACATTCACGCTTGAACTTCCAGTGAACGTGTATCTGTAGATACTTGACACTCGGATCAGTTCGTTGCTAGAGCCAATCTAGCGTCCTGTGATTGAG